ATTCACGTAAAAAAATTTATTTTATTGAGAGAATGTATGATTGAAAATAAGTTTAAAATTTGAGTTTTAAAGAATCTCTTTCCCAATGCTATATGAACTAGGGGTGGGCGCGGGTTGGTTCGGTTCGGTTTTAAAGAGAACCGAACCGAACTGTTCGGATATCTAGTAAATGGAACCGTCGGGTCCAAATATAATTATGGAACCGTTCGGGTTCGGTTCGGTTCGGTTCTGTACTATAATTAAATTTTTTAACATTTATAACAAAATTATATAAATACAACTAATGATACATTCAATGGTTTTGAAATGTCAGACACTAGTAAACTACCTTGTTCAAATGATCGCTACGATCAAAGTTTCAGTTGGCGAAGGTCACAATTTCGATCGGAGGTCACAGTGTCAACCGATAATTGTATAGATTTTGGAATATTAGCGAGGGTGTGAGAGTGAGTGCAAGAGTCGAAACAACGTTATGCACTTTGGTGCTGGTGTTTAGAGTTATTTAGTGGATTTGATCTTGCTTGGCTAAGAAATGAAACAACAAATTGGGCCAAAAATTAAAAAATTAGAAATGAAACAAATTATTGGGCCAAAATTTTGGATTTAGAAATCGTTAATTTGTTTAGAAAAAATTAAAATAATTTGATTTACTCAATACAAAAAAAAAATTAGAAAGATTCGATTCTTATTCAGTTCTTCGATTCTAAGTCTAGAACCGAGAACCGAACCGTACCCGTCGATTCTCAATTCAGATATCCGTTCGGGTATTTAATTTGACAAGAACCGTCGGGTTCGGTTCAGTTCGGGTTCGGGTTCGGTTCGGTCAATTCGGTTCGGGAGATTTGCCCAACCCTAATATGAACAACTACAAAACCTGAATTGCAGCTTAACAATTCTCAGAACCTATTTCAACTAATGCTTCATTTTTTAGGACATCTTCAGGAATCAAGACCCTGAAAACAGCATAATGATGGTTCAAGCTTTTCTCCCCCTGTAACCTGTGAACACTTCCCAGAGCGCCTTCACTTGAATTTGGAAATGCATAAAATATACGTCTAATTCGTTGATGCACAAGTGCCATTGCACACATTGTGCATGGCTCCCACACAAGGTAGATGTCATAACCAGTGCATAAATAATGTCTGGTTGAGTCGAAACGAAGATCATTTTTCTGACAGTTTACGTTCTCATCATCATTAACATTTACAAGGTTGATCTTTTGTCTTTTCAGAGGAGAACATGTTGGAGACGACATCTCATAATCCTCCTGAACAAATTCATCTGCTATGCGTCCATCTCCCGGAAAAAGATGCCTGTCCCTTGCAGCAGAATTTTCAATTGCAAGAATTGCTGCATGTTGTAAAGGATGCCAAGAACCAGAACTTGTGTGTAATTTTTGTTCAAGCCAGCTCCAAGGATTTAAACAAGAAACATGATTATATGTAAGCACATCAATGGACGAACATTTTGAAAGCAAGGATTGGCGATCTCCTGTTTCAATTGTGTCATATTGTGTTGCTTTTGGAAGCCTTGAGCAACATGTTTCTCCTTTGCTCCTTTTTATGGGAGTATTACAAGACAGGACTTGGTCTTGTGAGCTTGCAATAACTTGCATCGTCGAAGGATCCACGATAACAGCAGCATTAACAACTGAGCCAACACCAGAATTTGCCGAACCAACTGCAAACTTCATGAAGTGGAAAATTGACTGTGAATCCTCCTCACCAAATCCAGTTATTCCATCAACATTGTACGTGGGTGGATGGAAAGAAGTTGGCCATAGCTTGCATTGCCCTTCCCATTCTTCCTTTGTTGATGCAGCATACCTGCATACTTTTGTGATGAAAGTACTCAACTGGTACAAATTTACAAGCTCAAGAACTTCCTCTGGTATATGGTTGCACTTGCCATCATTTTCCGAAGCCATACATAAAACCACAAACAATTCAAATTTTCCTCCACCCATACACCTCTTGTGCATGCGCTTCACATGACGGAGATTTTCTAGTGGCGCAATCTGATTTAACTTCCTTACTATAGTATTGGCATGTCGAGGTTCGATTGCAGCAGCATGCACATTGATGGTGGGTTGGTTATCAGGAGGAATGGGAAGCTTGTCTGGAATGTGAATGACTTTCCAGCAGTTGGATGAACTCGCAGTTCGTTCATCAGTGCTTCCAGTCATTGCGTCCTGATTTTGAACTTCGAGATTTCTTAAGACTGGGATTTATGTTTTTCTGAATGCCCTGTTGTAGAAATGTTGGCAGCCTAGTCTTTCTTTGCTTTTCTATCAGGGAAGTTTGATGGCATGGGTCTTTTCAATGCACCATGCACAGCAATATGTTACTTCTGCAGCTTCCCAAACCCTTTTCATCTTTAAACATATTTCCTGAGATGCCTCAGCAACAATCAGCTGCAAGTTGCAGTGAGAATTTCTCAACTTAATTAACAGTTATGACAAGAAATTAAAGAAATAATCTGTAATCTACTCTCTATTTTTATGCCTAGAATAAGAGTGTGCTTTGTTAGTCTTCGATGAAATATCTATCACCATGTTTAGCAGTAATAATGCTTCTGTAAAAACTGTTGGCCAGGAAGCAAAATCATAACTAAGCCCCCCATTTGATTCTCATTATTTTCAAAATGCATTTTTCTTTCTTATTTTCAACCACACATTATTCAATAAAATAATATTTCATGGTTTAACCATACATTCTCCATCAAATCACCATTACAAAATGCATTTTTCAATTCACCATGCACAGCAATATGTTACTTCTGCAGCTTCCCAAACCCTTTTCATCTTTAAACATATTTCCTGAGATGCCTCAGCAACAATCAGCTGCAAGTTGCAGTGAGAATTTCTCAACTTAATTAACAGTTATGACAAGAAATTAAAGAAATAATCTGTAATCTACTCTCTATTTTTATGCCTAGAATAAGAGTGTGCTTTGTTAGTCTTCGATGAAATATCTATCACCATGTTTAGCAGTAATAATGCTTCTGTAAAAACTGTTGGCCAGGAAGCAAAATCATAACTAAGCCCCCCATTTGATTCTCATTATTTTCAAAATGCATTTTTCTTTCTTATTTTCAACCACACATTATTCAATAAAATAATATTTCANCCCCCATTTGATTCTCATTATTTTCAAAATGCATTTTTCTTTCTTATTTTCAACCACACATTATTCAATAAAATAATATTTCATGGTTTAACCATACATTCTCCATCAAATCACCATTACAAAATGCATTTTTGACAAATAATGAGAATCAAACAGGCCCTAATACTATGCGTTATCACTCTTTTAAACAAACCGTTTTTATGTTAGAATTAAATTTTATTTCTAACCCAATCTGAATCTTGATTCTCATAAATTTTAATAACAGAGATCTTGATTTTATCATTTACACCACTAGCTGCTTCATAAATCAAGGGGGGAATGTAATTAAAAATCCTTTATTTTTGCACAGCCAATGGATCAATGCAGCTCTATAATAATCAGCATATCTGATGTAAACAAGGTTATCTCGAATGTTTCTGGAGAAAAGGAAGCAATTCAGTATTTCATTCAAGCCCTGAGTTATGATGGAAGTAAATAAAGTAAAGGATAAGTACTTTCAAGTCAACCGGTCAAGTGTAGAATAAAAGATGTCAATTCGTGTTCTTATTCATACTTTCTTTTGAATAGCAGGTCTTATTCAGACTTATGATGCGTAATTCATCAATTAACATCACGATAAGTAAGCCAATCATAGACAAAAAACTACTCAATATTATTTTAGATTTCTTTGTGACACTCAAATTTTTGTTTGAGCTTCCAACAGGGAATGCGTGTTTTCTTTCTTTCTTTGGGAAGGGATGAGCTCATGGATGATGTATAATAAGAGAAATTTTGCACACCCGAAATCCTCAGAAACTTAGTTCAAAGGCACCACTGAACATAATTAGGAAATTAGATGAAAGTTAAGCTCATGGCATATAAAAAGAGAGATTTTATAAAATGAATCGACATTTTAAGGCAGACACCTATGGCATTGATCCACTGTTCTCATCGTTATATTAAAAGTAGTGATTGTGACAGGGAGAAAAAACACATCCAACATAAATGTCATTCTGAGTTCAGAGGGAAGCAGGGATAATTATGAAATATCTTAACCAAATTAGGGGTAGTAGGAGAAGAAAGAATAAAATGGAATACATATTTTCTATGAAACTACCGGAATGATGTTCAAAATTGTGAATATCTAACATCACAAGCTTCTTTATAAACACCATCATTCCTTTTCACTTCTTTATTTAAACTCTTCCGTAGGCAGAAACAACCATAAGAGTGTATTCACTTCTTAGCTTTCTAAGACTAGCCTAAACTTAAACATCAGATTTCATCAATATTAATGCAAGATAATTATTAATCACGTTTCATATATTTGTAAGATGATATGGTAATCTCTTGCATACCATATTAATTTTCTTACATGTTAACCTAAATCTATTTATCATCATGATACAAATCAGCATCATTGAATGAGCTTAACTAGAGGCTTTGTGCTCTACATGCCCAGAAAATTTCCAATATTCCCAAAACATGGAAACTTAATACCACTTGCCACTATTAAATTGACATGTATATGACTGGGTTCCAATTAAATAGTGGATCCCTATAATGATATACATGTCAATGAAATAGTAGCATGGAGTATTGAGTTTTAATAATCCGGGGGTACACGAAATTTTTCCAACATGCCAACCTGGAAATGATGATCCACTTCACCATCAAGCAATCAGTTTTGATAGAACGAACAAACATGCAAAATGACATGTTTTAGCTAATAATTGGACAACCCAACAAATCAAGCGAGCATATCATGTAGTAGAAGCGACTTTTTTTCCTTTAAAGTCTTCAAGCAAAAGTCCAAAAGTTCTTTTCCGCTCCAGTATTTTTCTTAGAAGTTAAAACTAATACAATGTTGAGTGATGCAAAATACATCAGATTGCCATGTTATTGCCTCTGCGTGTTCTTAACATGCTTGACAAACATTAAATGACTAGAGAGACACCCACACAGAGTAGCAGTACTTGTTGTGGAAGTTGGAATTCGTTTGAGAATTTAAGAAAAAGAGATGTCTTCATACTTTCATCCATCTAAACGTAGATTCATAAATTAAATCATTCTACCACCAAGGGAATGACAGATTCTTCTGACGACAATTCCACAAGCATCTCAATGGACTCTGTTATGCAGTGCTACAATAGTTCTTAAACATTTAGAAGCTTGCAACACATTTAGATGCAACTCCCTCCCCTACATTGTCTGAGTTTAAATTGTTCTATGTCTATGAAATTTGACAGATCAATCTAAGAGATTATTTAGAAGCAATGGCCCTCAATACGTCAAAATCAAACTATAATTATTCAATTCTATGCCTGCAGTTCCATTTTATTAGCAACTAAACTATCGGTCTTTCATACGGTGAATATGGATAGATAAAACAACAAAATTTGAATACAATATGAAATAATCAGTCGGGGAAATTTGCAGCTAACTGGGAAAGGAGAGACAGAATTTAGCAAAATAAGCAAGAGAAGAAGAGAAAACAGAAATTAGCAAACAAATAAAAGAAAGAGAAGAATTACCAGCTGGCACCATATGGCCGCCGCCAACCAGTCCCCGCCGAGTTGCTGAGAAGAAGGCACAACACAGTTCCTTTTAATTTTGCCATTCTTTGCCACTAGATCTGTGTCGCTGAGACACTGGACACTTGGCCTCTGTTTGCCCATTCTTATTCACTCTCTAATTTTCAATCACAATATTACACGTAAATAAAAAAAAAAATTCTTTCTTTTTTAATCACATATTTTTCAAAAAATATTACTCTAATCATTAAAATTTTGAAAGAATGGAAGTCAAACGAGGGCTTAGTTTATAGTTCTTATGGATTTTGAAGGCCAAATTTTGTAGCACTGATAAAAAAGGAAAAATAGACGACCCATTTTTAAAGTTTTTATGTTGATTTTTGGAAAAAAAAACATGATTTTATATACATGTGTTGATTTTTGGAAAAATGCATGATTTTTGGGTAAGGATAATAGTTTGGGAGGAAGAAAATGGAGTAGAGATCGTCGAAAATGGAGTTTTCCGGCGATCTCCACAAAGGAGACGTAAGCCCAGCCGGGTCCTTAACATAGCTAAGGATCTGATAATATTTGTTATACTCATAAAATAATTTCATATTGGACCCTCTTATTAGGTTTAGACTTGGTCCAACCCATTAGTTCATAAGACCTTCACGCACTCGTGTGTGTCATTCA